GGGTATGCAGGCCGTTTTGAAGTTCTCAAAATCCCGATTAAATTTGATTAGTTTCTAGGGGAGAAAAGTTTTTGACAGTTTAACTTCGTTTTCCACAAGGATTGTCTGTTATGCTTAAAGTGTGCTGCTTTACCTTAGTCATCATGACTTTGAAAGCATACAGTCTCCTGCCTTTCCCTTTTCCTAGAGCTCCTTCAAACTTTTCAACAAAATCCTGGGCCTCCCTGTTTGTCCAATCATGGAAAAAAAACATATTTATGAATCAAATTATGCCCTCTATTAAGGTAAAAAAAAAAAAAAAACACTCCACTGGTAATTATAAAAGTCAGAGTAAACAAGATGTACGGACAAGTCTGGGGTGGTTTACTGATTAATGATGTTTTGAAGTCCATGAATTGATTCAACCACAGCAACATGCATTAAACAAGCTCATGAAAAACTTATAGCTTCTCTTCTGTCACGCTTCTTTTTGGGCAAACCTCTCCTCGCTGATCTCTGCACGAAAACAAACCCAGACCTCTCCGTCTCACTCATGCTCTATAACCCAGAAAACAGAAATATATTTCACAGTCAATTGCTTGAGCTTTTCTCTTTACTTGAGCAGCAAGAGCCTCTTCTTCATGCGCCAGGGTTTGTTCCTCAACGTAGCAATCAGCTTCTTCTTTTCCTCCACCTGTTCCTTCAGGGCTGCAATCTCCCCCTCTGACAACGACTCTTCGTCCTCGTCGGAGGATGAAGAAGAGGAGGAGGAGGAGCTGCTGAAAAGAACATAGATGTCTCTTGTGGTGAACTTTGCAGAATTCAGAAAGATTGGTCCCAAATTTCCTCCACATTGGAGTCATTAAGTTTCAACCGCCACAAAAACAACTTTCTGAAAGTTGTTTTGAGATGGGGATTTTTCTTGTGTGTTCAGAACTTAATGAGTAGCAGCATGAAACTATAGGACAGTCAAGAGAGAGCGGGCAAACACCTTCTTTTTTATTTTGGCAAGGAGAAACTACCTTGTTCTTGCAGCTGCTTTTATAGTTCTTGAACTGATGTTAAAAATATTAGCTGCATAGACAAGGAATGTATTTAGGGTATTCATTTTTTTGAAGGTGTCCCTCACTTAATGTTTCTATTGACCTCCATCTATTAGCTTTGTTTGAGGAATATGAATAAGGCTGCATGCAGAAAGCAGCATAAATCAGGCAGAGAAAAGACATTTGCACCTGCTTGTCTTTTTGATCTTCTTTTTCTTGTCCTTACTCTCCTCATCTTTTCCTTTCTTGTTTCCCTTCTTGTCATTATTCTGCTCCTCTTTCTCCGTTTTAGACACAGCTCTCCCAGATTTTTTTCCTCTCCCTTTGTCTTCCTCACTTTCTTCATCGCTCTGCTCCTTAGAACCCTTCTTCCTGGAGGCATTTGATCCTGTTTTTGCTGCTGCCTTTCGTTTCTTTCCACCATCGTCTTCGTCACTGTCCTGGGGTTTGGTTGTCCTCCTCCGTCCTCGTCTTTGAGGGGTTTCGTCCTCATCATCATCATCTGTCTTGGTTGGCTTCCTTCGTCCTCGTCGTCGGGGTGCCTCGTCCTCATCCTCTTCTTCCTCCTCATCCTTCTCATCTTCACTAATATGCTTGGCTTTACGTTGCAACCTTGTTCTCCTGTTTCGACTTTTCCTCCTCGCCTCTTCTGTGAAAGAAAAAAAGCAGTTTATTGTTAGTGCATGAATGCTATAGCAATAAAATATTAGTAGAGTTGCAGAAAAATATGTAGGCGCCTGAAATGATCTTGAATCACTCACCTTCACTGTCGCTGTCAGGCTCAGCGTCCACGTCCATCCCAACTGGAAAAAAAAGGACCAAAAACAATCTAACACAAGTTACAATAAGGGATTCGCTTTTATAATGTAGTACTATCAGTAAATATAAGGGTCTCTAAAGAACAGCAGATTAGCACAAAAATCTCACCATTTTCAACATCCACTATGTCATTGTTTCTCCTCTTTGGAGGCATTTTTCCTGAGCTGTTTTTGAGTTCTTTGTTTCTTCTTCTTCTTCTCCTGTCAACCCTTACATCCAAACTTGAATCCCGTTCATTTATGAGGGAGCTTGCAGGGTCAACATGCCGCTTTACACAACTGCACACATCAGCAGGATCGGGTGTGCTAGAGTTGGAGCCGTTTCAATTCAGGGATTCTTGGTAGACGCTCCAAGCCCATTGGATGACGAAAGGGAGCCAGGGGAGGACACACAGTCTGTCAGACAATGGACCTGTCAATCAAAACGTCAACGGATACTATTCCACAGACACAGGGGAGGATATACAGTCACTAATCCGTAACATTTATTGATTCTCAACAGAAAAAAATTTCACACTTCTCCATATTAGTTCCCTTCCTCTTAGATAATGTCCTCATATTAAAGCTGCTCTGACACCAAGCACTCATGCTTGCCGTTATTTACTTAAAACCCAAGAAAGGGCAAAATGCATTAAAGTTGAATGAAACATGAGGTAATCCTGATCAAGAGGGGAAACAAATAGTCAGAATAGTGCCAGCTGAACAAACAGGTGACGTTTACTCCAGTCAGACTGTGACTTCATTCATAATCAAATATGGGAAAATAGGGAAAATTTTTCATAGTTAAATCAACACTGTGTCAAGCGCTTTTTCTCTGTCTCAGAATTGGCATTAATTTAACTCTTTTAGAGTTATTTCAACAAGAGACTGAGTAGTTTTGACTATTTCAAAAGTTAAAATGATTCAGTCTCTTGTTGAAATAACTCTGAAAGAGTTAAATCAATACCAATTCTGAGACGTAGAAAATACTCTCGACACAGTGTGGATTTAACTCTGCCAAATTTACTGTCAGTTTGCCTTTTAGGCCACAATCTGGAGCTTGAGTTTTTGGTTTCCCAAATCTACTCCAGTATTGTGCTTATAGACGTACAAACAATGCCCTATAATACGCACAAGAAAATCGACTTTACAACCAAAACCTTCATGCATTTTTCATGACAGACCAAAACAAAGCAGTTGGTATTTATGAGGTGGGAGGAAAATGAAATATGGGCTCTAGCAGTTTTGCAGAGACTGAACTATTTGACCTCTTTTCTTGCAAAAATAACCTTAAGTTCAGACAGATTAGACAGAGAGCATCTCTGAACAGTACAACGCACCACTTACCTGCACGCCTTCTCACTGTTCATCAAAGCTGACCTTTTAGAAAATGCAAGCTGGACCAGGACATTTTTTTGTTTGTTTTAAACACACACACTACCTATTTAAAAATGCAGGAGGAAACAGGAGCTGTTGGCTGCTACACAGCTAACAAACAGAAGCAATAAGTCGATGGCTTGCATCTGAAAGAAAAGATGAAGCTTTGGAATTGAGACCAGTCCACCTCCCTCCATATTGTTTTCCACCTCCTACAAGCCTCAAGCACTCTTCTGCGTCAGCCTTTCATTCTTTTTTTAGAGCACATGCATTTGGCGTTGAGACTCATTTACTCGCTCGCACTAAGCAGGACAGCATCTTAAGCTGTAAAATCAGTGTTTGCACAACCCCGGCTCTCTTCGTTACAGCGCTGAGCTGTAGATGGTCATCACCTTACCGGGGAAACCAAGACATCCGGTAATGTGCAATCAGTCAAGGCTAAGTTTCCTGACACATTGTACCAGTCTGAACTGAGACTGGGAGGGAGCCAAAACTTAACCCCAGTAGGAGGGTGACACAGGGGCCATCGGAGATTAACAGTGGTTCCTCCTTTTCTTCTCCTGTAACATTAAGACTTGTCTCCAGCACACAAACAATGCTAATTAAGACCATTAATATGTCTCTTCCAACTTCATTAAAGAATGTGACTGACAGTCTGCGGCTCCTCTTTCCTGATGAGCGGCGGACTGTCAGTCAGCGGATCGCAGATAAAAACAGTGTTAATAATTCATGTTTACTTGCAATGGATTTATCCTGAGCTACGAAGTAGGAGGATTTCATATTAAAGGTCGTCTTACCTGATTGAGACTCTGCACTTTTTCCTCAGTGGGAAACTTCCCAACACACAGCTTTTATTTCAAAACTCAGCTTAGGTTCAAAATTGTTTGTAACTAAAGCTCAAATAACAGTTTCCTTTCAGGTCAGGGTGGAAGATTTACCGACTGTCTTCGTTGCAAAAGTATTCAGACCATGAGAATTTATACATATTTTGCTACAATAAAAAATGTTAAGGTATTTACTGGGATTTTCCAGACCTTTTACAAAACAAAAGAAGTTAAAATGTGCCAATTATTTTTTATTTGTTGATACTGTTCCCTTATTCTACGATGTCTTACAATTATTTTACTATGTGTTATTTGGTCTATAGTGAACGAGGGACATATACGGCACCTTAATAACACGTAAAAATCTAGAATCAGTTTATTTTATCTTCTGTCTCGATGGCTGTAAACTGTCTACTTGATGAGGGCAAAGCTAAAGCGGTGAGTTGGAAACAACCAGACAAGTTTTATTATTTTTGATTTATGTCCGTAAGTGAATATTAGAAATTATTATTTTCCCAATGCCAATGCACACAGTCTACTGCCCAAATGGACCTTCCTCCTTACATCCACCTCCCAAAAAAAGACAGATTTTGCTGCGTAAATCAGCTCAGCGTTGAGTAAGGGATCTATTTCAGGATTCCTGTCTGGGTTAAGTGGCCTCCATGTCTAATTAATTTTCTAATACATCGGCATCGGCCTGGGGTAACAGTTAGGAATAGAAGTAGTAATGGCAATACTAAGCAAAGCTAAATATACAGACGGACAGACAGACAGATATTCACTGAAAGCGAATGTTGTCAAGGAATGAAATATTAGGAGGATGTGCAAGAGCCGAGGTAAAACAATTAAAGAAGATAATATTTTCTTGCAGTCAACTGCAAGGACATTTCTAAATTTTTTTCATTCAGAAATTATCGATTATTGGTCAGTTTTCAAAAGAAACTAGTTCAAAGACAGATGATCACACTAACTGCCTCCATTTAAGTGTTTTCTTTTTCCAGTCCCCAGGTAAATAAGTTACTTGGCTACAGCTTCTGTCTTTGTTCTCTCAGTGTCTCTCCAGACTCGGCACCCTGTACACCCTGGGCTCACTTTGCTGATGGAAACCAGGCAGGTATCTTGAGTTCCCTTGGTTGCCATTATGGCAATTTCTGGGACCAGGGCCTCTCACTGGGAAGTGTGGTTCTCTGTCACCAACAGACGGAGAAGGGTTGCGCCCATGATACATCCTCTGATTTTTGTTGTAGATTTCTTCATCATCTGCAGAGAAAAAAATTATAAAATAAAAATGTGTATATTATTTAGACAGCTTTTAGGTTTTTGCAGGGTTGTACTAATGGAGGAAACAGTGTCATCCCACAACTGAATTCAACATAGGCTTTTATTCTGATAATACATTAAGATATAGGAATTAAGTTGCGAATTTACACACTTTACACACTCCAAAACCACTTTCTGTGCATTTCTAAAGTACAAAAAGTCTGTTTTTATTTTCCTGTTTAAAATGTTCCCTCGTGACATTTTTGTCTATCTTGTCATGTTGATTTGGACTTTCTCACCCTCTCGTCTTTGACCTGAAGCATCGGTGTCCCTTTGATGCTCTGCAGCCTGAGATGCTGATTTTCTGGCCTCCTCCAGATCCGTCTGAGCTTTCAGTGCAGCTTGTTTATTCTTTTTCTTGTTTTCTTCATTTTGCTTGGAAAATAGCGCTCAGTTAATTCAGACCATAAATGTTTAAGCTGCACATTCTACTACTGTATACAGTACATGTGTGATAAATGTGAAGCTACAGTATTATACAGCATAGCTCTGGGATTGACGCAGTTTGAGTTTTCACTATGCTGCCCTCTACTGGTGTGATTATTCTATTGCACTCAATACAGTTACAACGGAGGAATACGATGTCCAATTGTTTTCCATTCTTTGAAAGCTTCAGTGTTGATAGAAAAAAAAAATCCAGTGAAACAACCATTAATCTTGTAAGGTTAAATCACATCTTTAGTGAATGAAATGACCTAAGTCAGTTTCATTACTTGACTAAACTTAATGCATTTAATGTGAAATTTAAACCATATGACTTGAGGAGAACAAAATTATCTAATCTCTGGGTTACCGTCTGTAGTTTCTTCTTCAGTTCCACATTTGCTTCTTTGTAGCTTTTGGATGTGGACTGTAAGTAATAAATGGCCAGTCTGAAAAATAAAACAGCAGTAGATTATCAATGCTGAAACACCAAAACATGTCCCAGTAGAAAAACTTCAAAACCTTTTTAAATATGAATCTACAGTAATTCCTGCTTTTGCTTCTGATCTTAAACATTTCAGTGAAACAAAACAAAACAAACAAATAAACACAATGAGAAAAACCTTTTTTTACAACACAGTGTATATGTATTTTTGAGATTGTATGGATGATTTTGAACTACTCTGAAATTCAAGAGAAACTTCAAGAAAAAAATATGCAAATCAATCTTTAAAAGCTAAAAAATTTATATTCAGCTTTTAAAGATTAGTGAGGATTGTATTTACATTTCTGATCTGTACTGTATAAACACTTAATTCAGACAATCTGATGGTGACTCACACCATGAGCAATATGAAAGGTAGCACCAGCCCAGGGTTAGATGCATAGCTGAACACTTTACTGAACCAGGCCGGGAAGTCGGACTCCAGCGTCTCTTGGATCACATCAAACATCCTGTTCTTGCCACTATGAAGACATGATGGCAACTGAGAAAGAAACACCAGGAAAACATGCCAAACCCCTTGATCATACATACCTGAAAGGTCCACAGTCAAATGAAGGGGGGATGGTTACAATGGTGTAAATGGCCGGAAGAGTGGACAGGAAGAGGATGACCAGCAACATGGCCATGTAGAAGTTGTTGGAGCCCGAGGCTTTAAAGACCCGTTCCTGTGGAACATTGCAGCACATCACAGCCCAACACTGCAGGTACATGGACACATGGAGCCGCAGGAGGTTCAGAGCTGGCAGACAGGGGGCATAGAAGGCACCCATCCTGCAGGGGAAGGTAAGACCCAGTAGTCATTTTTACTGTTTATCGTTCCTCCATATATTTCTCACAGTATTTGTCCAACTGGCCTGATGCAAAGCCATGAAGTCAGGGCTGATAATTAAAACTGATGTTTTCTTCGCACCATATCATGCCTTGGTTGAAGATAAGCCCCAGGACATTTCCACTGACATCAAACTCAGAGTACGAAGGCTGTTAGAAGAGTCAGACAAAACACAGTGGTACCTTATAGACTTGAAATAAAAGTTATATAATTATGTTTTAAGAAAAAGTTGACTCACAAATCCAGCCTCCAGGTCCCAACACCAGCAGTGGTTCAGAAAACGAACAAGCACAGCTCTCAGGAAATCTCCAATCAGCAGCGTAATGTAAGTCGTCATTGTGTCAGATATAATCAGACGAACAAACTCCTGCATGATGACGCAAACAAATGTGAAGCATATAATAATAATGCTAATTTTAAATGAGGGTTAATCAAAAAGTTAAATATCCAGGTGCCTGTTTCAGCAGTCAGGAGGTGAACATTATTGATTAGTTTTCTTAAATACAATACAATGTAAAAAAAAAACAACAACAAAAAAGACACCATATTAGTTATTTCATGTCTCGAAACATTAGAACCACAATTTTTTGTGGTATAAAAATTAACTTTAAATATGTCAAATTCTTTAGCATTGTACCCATCTAAACTTGGTATCCTGAAAAGTAGCCAAAAGGTCCACATATGTGACAAAATGTAAAAAGCTACAACCGGAGAGCGCGGCAACAACCTTTAATATGGTTTGCAAATGTCTGTAACGTTTAATTCATGTAAACCACAAGAAATAACTGTTAAATAAGTGTTTTAGCAGTGGTTCTCCACTGATGTATATACCGTAACTCAAAATCAGAACAAATTTCTAAATTAAATGAATAATTTTTGGAATCATCAAAATTCTTGTTTTCTAATTTTTTTTTTATTTGTTCTATCATTAAACAAAGTCCCTCCACTTAATATAATAACAAGCTGGAGCAGCAATCAGACCAGACTTGCATAATAGTTCAACCACACACATGCAGTCTGACCTGCCCCACCATCGTCTCCCAGCAGGGCCCTCTTGGCACATCAGCAGGGTGGATGGTGATGGGTGGAGCAGTGCTGTTCTCTGACCCTGTGCCGTTATAAAGACTTGCTTCCCACATTGTAATGTTAAACTTTACTACTTTCTCCTCTTTCCTCTGTGAAAGATATTCTGTGACAAATCATGTCATAAGAAAAACAATTTCATAGAACCAGACTCACGTCCCCTCACTTTAAGATTGATCGCATCCATCAGCGCGATAATGAAGGTGTAGAGGTTTCCCAGGAAAAGGGCAAAGATGCGACCCAGCTGCCACTGCAGGGCGACACGGGGGTGGTAGTTCTCCAGAGTGCTGATGACGTCGAACAGCATGGGGCAAAACATTCCCAGTAACGACATGACCATATTCACCTGAGAAACCCAAAGACAGCACTGTAATTGTATCACTTTATGGATAACATTGTGTTCAAATTGTAATGTAAGTTGCTTTTACAATACCCATAAAGCAAATAATACAGGCAAAAATATTGTTGCTGCAGCAATCCAACTCTTGAGTGGATGAACCTGACAAACATTAAATTTATGCATAACACTAAAATCCTCTTGCTGTTTGATTTTCATTATTTTGTTAATGAAAATCTCTTATTAATATGGCATCAACTACAGAATTCAATCAGATATTCAGCAGTGAGCTCATACTTATAAATACAAAACAATAAAGAAATGGTTTTTAAAACAAAGAACAGTAGCCTGAGCCAAATTTTTCTAACATGATTTTCCTGCAAAATGATATATCAAAGAAGACATAGCAAATACATTTAAAAGTTTAAATAATTTAATTAAATTTCTCTATATATCTAAAAATGTTGCTTTTGTAATAATCATTTCACTGGTTGTTATTTGTTCCTTTCTCACCTCATTTCTTTCCCACCAGGTGTGATTCTCCAGACCATCCAGGGCAAACTTCTGAGACCTACGCACCACAAAGTAAATGAGGTATCCACTTCCTGCCAAGCAGCACAACACCAGGAAATTGGCCAACACGCGCAGGAAACGAGTCAGATGGATGTTGTCGTCCTTTCGGCTCTCTTGCTCCTCCAAGATTGCTTCCTGCAGAGGTCAGGCAGCACAACCGACTAACTCTATCGTGCTGTTTCATTCATCGCTCCATTGGAAACTAGACAGAGAGAAGGGCTGACCTTGAAACTGGTGGTGATGGAGGCAAACTTGTTGTCTGCTGTCTCAGGGTTTCCTATCAGGTAGTCCCAGCTTGTGAACATCTTCCAGCTGAAATTGAAGCTGTTGTCATCTCCAATCCCTGACTCGTTTGCGTTACGCGCCATCCTTCAGTCAGAAAGAATGCATTCTCTATGCAGTCTCACAGAATAAAGACATGATGTCATTCAACACCCGCGCAGAAGACTTACGTCCGTATGACAACCATATAGCTGTAGGCCACTGTGCCCACACCGACTAGGAAGTACGACAAAGGCATACGAAACTTGAACCAGCCAATAGCACGCTGATTGTTATAGTAACCGTAGAAGAGGACCGAATACTGAGCGTAACCCTGTGAGTGACATTAAAAAAAATGTAAAAAGCAAACTGAACATCTTATTTTAGGTAGAAGTAATTGATGTGTGTCACATCTCTAACTGACTCCAAAGTCCCAAAGGACAGCAAAGTCCATGGCACCCGCTTCCTCCGCTCTGGGGACAGTCTTTCTCGGGATGCTGCCGTAGGGCCTCCCCATTAATGCCTGTTCAAAAATAAAAAGCAAAGAGGAGAATGAGCCTTATTTGCAAACTGAAATATATCTAGAGAGCAATGAACAAAAAGATACTCCAGTTTAGGTTTCAAAGTTGGAGTACCTCTGGTACCATAACCAGGCCGAAGGTCAAACCAAACAGGATCATGTTGATGCCGTACATCCACCGTAAGAAGATGAAGTATGAGGCAACTGAGGAGCCAAAATGACCTGAATGGCACATTAAGTACAAAAGCTTTTCACATTTTGTCATCGTTCAACGACAAACATTATTTTCATCTTATTGGCTGGTGGATCAGCAGGAATAAGAGCATATTTGTGAATTGGAAAGAAGCTTTTTAAGAGTCAAAAATGCACCATACTATTTCATGTACTATTTTCCCCTTTTTAGAAAGAAGCTCATGTATGCTCAAAATGTGTGTCTGAAAAGATGTTCCAAATACTTTTTAGCATGTCGTATGTCTTCTTACTCATGACAAATGTTTGAAGGCAGCTTACTTTCAATCTCTTTTATTTTCATCTCCCATGGAATGCAGGCTGTTTTGAAGTTCTCAAAGTCTCTTTGAAACTTCATCCACTTCTAATGATGCAATGATTATAAAAAAGTGAGAAAAAAAAACAGCATTAATTTGAGATTTTTTTCTGAATAAGTGAAAGTTGGTGTCAACTTGCCTTTGTCATCATGACCTTGTATGCATAGAGTTTCCTGCCTTTCCCTTTCCCCAAAGCGCCCTCATATTTCTCCACAAATAGCTGAGACTCTCTAAAAGTCAGTGAAAGTATTGGCAAGTGACTTTTTTAAGTCATTTGGGTTGTTTAATTTTTTTCAAGTAATAAATTAAAGTGTACCGTAAAGTGACAAGCTTCTGTCTCATTGGCCAGGGCTTCCCCCTCAGACTTTGGATCAGCTTCTTCTTCTCCTCCACTGCCTCCTTCAACTTCTCCAACTCCTCCGGCGACAGTAACTCAGGCCTCACCTCTCCATCATTATTGACCTCTTCCTCCTCATCATCACCTTCCCCACTCGTCTCTGGCTCTGAACTGAATAATTTCAGAAGGCTCTGTTAATGAGTGACGAGACGTTCTCCTTTAGAAGCAGGAGCTGTCACATTACATGAAGCATTACCTCGTTTCAACAACTTTTTTGCTCTTTTTCTTCTTCTTCATTCCAAGTGCTTTTTCTTTCTCCTTAAGTTGATCTCCACTTTCTATTTTCTCCTCATTTTTGGCACATACAAGTTTCAGTTTTCCCTTTTCACCTTTTTCCTGACCTTCTCTGTCCTCCTTCCCCTCCAGCTTTCTTGTTTTCTCATTTTTGATGTTCTTCTTTGATTTTGTTGTCTTGGCCCTGGTTGGATCCCGCTTCCCTTCATTCCCCTCATGTCCACTTGTTTCATGTTCATCTTTTCCTCTTCGCCTCCTACCCCTCTCTCCTCTCTCTGTCTTGGATTGAGATTCCTCTCTTATTCCTTGCACCGACTTGGAAGATCTTTTTCTTCTCTGATTTTCCCTCTTGTTTTTTTGTCCGTCACCATTTCTTCTCTTCCCTTTGTGTTTTTCCCTCTCATGATTTTCTTGAAAATCTCCATCACCTGGTGAGAAATGAGACGGGCGAGGGAGGTGATTTTATGTTTCTTTGCTGTGCTGACCACCCAGATTCACTTGGTTTAGTGTTTTATATTTCCACAGTTGGGTAATTTGGTGAGATGAAATCTGATCAAAACACAATCTCTGGATGTAAAGTTCTGCTTAACATCCAAATTATTTTAATCTTACAATAAAATAGCTTCCAGACATAAATAGTGTGAAATGTTTTTATTCATGACTGAGATTTTATATGTATTGACTCACCTGCAAAATCCAGATCAATGTCAGCTGTGAGAGAAAAACAATTACAGACTAAAATAAGAACAACTGATTAAATGTATCCTACTATCAACATAAAAGAAAAAGTTAAAAATAATACAGATTAACTATGGACAGACGTGTTTTGCAATCAGAAGTGTTATGTTTTGTTATTTAACATACATTTTAAAGCCATAGAATGTTTTAATCTCCAAGGTTATTTTTCAACCATCTTTCTTCAATGTCAACCAGAAAACGTCAGGTGTTAGCAGGATTTAATCCCATCATGCTCTCTTGCTGCCAGTACCTAAAGTCTGTGTGGAATTTCGGAAAAAGGGCAAGAGAGAGTGTTGGAGGAACACGGGAGATAAATGGGTCTTATGGAGGGAAATGAAAATCCCTGAGCAGCCCAAAGTGATCAAAACATAAACACTTTTTGATCAGGAAGGAAACATCGGGCTGTAAATCTTGTCCTTTTAAATTTCAATAAAAAATACTAATTATGTATACTCTGATTATTGCAATTTGTCACGTTTTTTGGGGGTGGAGGGTTTGTACAGGCGTGTTATCAATCAGATGCTTGAGTTTTTTTTGAGTTTCAAAAAAATGTAACTTAAAAAACAATAATTTCATATCCATCAATCACAACTAAAAATGGTTTTAAGGAAATTTTGGACTGCAAAGGATATTGCTGGACAAAAGTCACTTAAACTTCCCTAAATACTTATAACTATAACTCATTTAGCTAAAACTTATAGTAGAAATATTGCTGTTTCTAGCTAAACAGCTGTGAGAATACAAATGTACAAAATGATTCCTGGAGAATATGCTAGAAAAAGAAGAACAAAGCATAAGAAGTAGGAAAAAAGTATAAGAAAGCCACAGTTCACCATGATGGACATATTTTGCAAATATGTCGACCATAAAATTCAGCAAACGATGTAGCATAATTCAGCAGAAATGGAATCTTGTATGGAACCTGAACAATTTGAAAAAAATTAAATAGTAAAATATTTGAAAAAGTACAATTGAAAAAATTTGCAGAAGATATACCATTTCAGCAGAAGAAGCAGAACATTTTGATATGTGAATTTCTAAAACTGATAGAAGTTTGCAGAAGACCTTTGTAGACACATAAAGCCAGTAAAAGCAAAAGTGTCTGCAGAAGGGTAGACAAGCAGGATGTCTACCCTTCAACATCTGTTCACAAAGATGTAAACTGAGCACGAGAGAAACACATTGAAGAAATAGTACATAGTACATGTCTGTACTCCAGAAGAGTTTGACAAAAAAACAAAAGACCTGCAGCGATGATAGTCATAGTTCCTTAACGTAGACATACGTGGCTACGTCTTGATGCATGAATTATGTCTGTACAGTTAAATATGTATGAACAGCATCATCTTGTTTGTCAAAAAGCATGAAAAGCTAAAATGTTGTCTAACAACAACAGTTAGAGAATTCCACCATAGGATTACATAGTAAAACTGAAAAAGATCAAAAATCTGCATAAAACGTAAATTGCAGTGGTGGAAAAATCATAGGAAATATCAAAAAGCCAAGACACTGCAAGGTAATTTAAAATCTAGTGACTTGTTTAAAAGTTGAATGGAGTTTCTACATTGAAGTAAGCAGAAGTGGCAAGCTGTGAAAATGCTGAATATTTTAGCAGAATTTTGTGGATTTTTTTTCAAATTTCAATGTATTTCAATGGGGCTTAAATTTGCACAGAAGCACAAATATTTCAAAAAAGTGCAATAGTAAAATTTAGCAAAAGATATCGCAGAAATCTCCAGAACATTTCATTATATGAATTTGTAAAATTGGTTAAAGTTAGCAGAAGTAGTTAAAAACGTAAACAGGATCTTAATCAAGGAGAATGCATTGCTGCATTCTAATGCTGCAATGCATTCTCCTTGATTAATAGAAATCATCCACATAACTGTAGTCATATGATATCAGTGCTTTATAACTAACCCCTCACTTCTTGAATGACATTAGCTTTATTAAATCCAGTCAATTTCTTTATATTGTGGATGCCACACTGACTCCTTTGACTGACTGAACCAAGCCTTATTGTGCACATCGGACTATTGTTCTGTTATAAATAGGGATAAAGAGGAAAACAAAGAGGACCACTGACAGACAGAACAGATATTTCTGTAGTTGGTCTTTTGATGTGTGTCCTTAGTGTAACCGGAGTGGGCAGCACATGGGTCATTACGGTCAGGTGCAGCCGAAGGGCACAAAGGAGTCAAACAATAGTCTGATGAAGTAGAGAGGGGGAGGCTAAGCCTACGAGGATAGGAGACCAGGGACCAAATCCAAAAAAAAGGAAAATGGGGTTAGTTAGGAGGAAACAATGTACAATGGCTTATGAAAGTTTTTTTTTTTTTTTTTGGCTACAGCCATTGTACTTCACTAGGTTTTTTGGGTAAAAGTCCAACATTAAGTGAAGCATATTTGTACAGTGAGAGGAATACCACACTTTGTTTTCAAAATTGTTTAAAAATAAAGACGTGAAAATAGTGGAGTCCAAACATTCAATATCTCATATTCAATATCTCTATCTCGGTATTCGAGATCCAGTATAAATAAGGCTTTTTCTCTAGTGAAAGAATATTAGTGAACAAGTGTCAGCAAAGACCAAGGAATACAGCCGACAGGTCAGAGGGTCGGCTGTAGAAAAGGTTAAAGCAGGGCTGCATCATCAAACAACATCCCATGCTTTCACTATTGTTATCTCCACCAATTAAAAATAGAAGAAATATGGCACAATCATATGGCCAATCAGAAATCGGCCATGCACTCCACCATCTGGCTTTTATTGGATACAGGCAGGAGAATCTCATTATTGAAACAAAGGTATAAATAAAGCCCTTCTAATTTTTGACACAGGACATATAAGGACTGGGAGAGACCAAGCCTAAAATTTCTTACCAGCACACAAAGCGATATAGATAATACTAAAGTGGGTAAAGCGTCTTACCATGCTTCTACAATAAAAATCTAGGCTGATTTATGACAAACCCAATAAATCCTGAGTTTCACTATATTAGAAAAGCAGAGCAGCAATGCCTATCCAGTAATGTGACCATGGTCAGTATCTTACTGTCGTTCTCTGAGGTGATCAGGGTATCTCCAGGCATTTTCCTCTCATAGTCCTGCGTCTTCCACAAAAGGCAACATCAGGAGGTGATGTGAACTGCGAAACAAACAAAGCTGCAGGGTTTAATACTTCCTCAGTGCTGCTGTACCTTCTGCATCATTAGAGGGGAACCCTATTCACTGCTTTGGGGATGAAGGGTGTGGGTGCAGGTACAGGTGTATGTGTTTGTGCATGTGCCCTGCTGGCTTGGCACATGATGGGTAACATGCCTGAGAAGTTTACTTTTTCCTCACCACCCATCGACCCGAGGCAGGAACAATGATGAGCTGGAAACTCTAGAGCCAAGCAATTTCACTAACAATCAATTATTCAAAACTGTTATGACTGCCTTTTATGCTGCTGTGTGTGGATTTGAAAGATTATGCACCACGTGTCAGTGAGAGAGAAAGTTCGAGGTCTATGAATGGGGATGACAAGACAAAACCATGGAGGTTAAAGGCTGGCCAGGTAAAAGTGAGGATGAGGGCCTTTTGTACAAGAGGGTTCATTCTTCTACATTAAAAGTGTCAGGGTTCAACAATTAGTTCAGTATTAGTTTTTGACACACTTATAGAAGTTTAGTCTCATTTAACCATAACATTTCTTGAGTGCATTTATAATCTACAGACAATGAACGGATGGTCCATTCATTGTCTGAACATCCTTAACCCTAGAGGGGTCAGCAGGGGTACACCCGCCAGGCAACACAGAGACATGCAGGACAAACAACCACTCACACATGTTAGGAGAATTTGAAGAGACCAATTAACATAACAGTCATTTTTTTTGGTCTGTGGGAGGAAGCCGCAGTACCCGGAGAGACCCACGCATGCAGAGGGAGAACATGCAAACTCCATGCAGAAAGACCCCGGGCTGGGAATCAAACCCAGGACCTTCTTGCTGCAAGGCAATAGTAATACCAATTGCGTTATATTGACAATTCTTTCACCCAAGTCATGTTTCTCTGCAGCTTCTCTGGCGTTATAATGCACATCTTGGCTCCTTCTTTGATGAAGGTTCTCCTCAGCGATGGTGGCAGGAGTCTCTCCTGTAAATGTCCTGGATTTGACAGAGCGCTTTACAAGCACAGGTCATTCACAGTTTGCTTGTTCGGTCAGATTAAGTCGACGACAACCGAATCAAAGTGCTTTATTGATGTAAAGGAATGTGAGAACTAAGAGAAAACTTTATTTAAAAATTATAAATAAATGTATCATTTAGTCTACAAGTCAAACTTCTGTGGGCCAAAGTGGTTGATCCATCTGAGTCATCTGAATGTGTGCGTCATCCTGCAGAAAAAAAAAAAAACTCCAGGATTCAGAATTAGCATTGCTTTGGTTTCATTTGCTTCATTTTTTTTATTGAATGTGTTTTGATTGCTTTGAACTTAACACCAGCTAACAGTTTTGCACCAGTGTTTATTTCTCAGAGTTGCTTGTTGTATGGCTTTCCATTTGAAACCTTATCTGAAACCATAACTTTTGAAATGTATTACAGTGTTAACCTGAAAAAAATATATAAAGGCAGCCATTACAAGAGTTAAATTTGTTGATGCAAAATGTCATGTGTTTGAACATGAAGTAACGTTAGTGCAAGCATAATCCTGTAGGAGGCGGTATTGCTCCAAACTGAAAACTTTCCAGTAGCAGGAAACCATAGGTGAGCTTTCTCAAACATAGTTTTAGTCATACATGCTTCTTGTTTTGTATGTACCGGTAATCTAGAGTTTGCCTTTTTGAATTTAAGAGCCCAAAACCAAGTGTGTGTGTTTTGGGTGAAAGACTTGATGCAAATTGTTCAGTTTTTTCAGTGCTAAAGTTAGTCTTGTCTATCTACACATAAGGAGAACATAAGGGAAGTGAAAAGGGTCAGTGTTTCTGACACTTGTAAAAAATATTTTTATTTACACCAGATCATGTTTTAGCTCAAATAATTCTGTATTCTTTAAAAAAAGAGAAGTGATTCAGTTTCAGATTGCCCTGCACCTCTGTTTAATTGTTCTCCTATTTTGTTTGTTTCACTTCTTAAAGCTCTGCCTATCCCAGACTGTAAATGGTCTCTTGATTTCAAAGAGACAAATTATACATTTTAGTAACATATCAAATTATTTCAATCTTAATCATAATTCTGTATTCTTTGATTTAAACTCACCCTTCAAAAGATAGCTTTATAGAAAAAAGTTTTTTTTTTTGTTTTTTTTTACATTAAAAAAAAAACTTAGACTCAATTTAATATTATTTTCAAAGGGTCTTTTTCTTTGCACCCAAAGAGAAGTCAATGTATTTCTCAAAATAAAACTCATGTTGTATACTTTCACTTTCTGGTGTTTTTTCTTCTTACACAAGAAAAAACATTTCCAGATTTTATCTTTTATCATATTCAAGCATGGCTTTTGGCAAACATCAAATTGAACTTCTTTTGATTTTATTTTTCTTAACAATTATCCATAAGGGAAATCGGTTGCAGTTTGTTTTATGTAGGAGAATCAATCCCAATAAAGAACCTGGAAGTTTATTGGTGTAACATGACAAAATGCAAAAAGGTTAACTGGGTGTGAATCCTTGTGCAAGGAGCTGTATTTTATTTATTCTTTTAGTGGTGTGGCAGAACATAAATGCAAACATTTTTTTTAAATGTCTGTTTGAAATATTTAGACGTTCAAACAATACCAGTGTTTCTTTAACCTGAACAGAACAACTTGGACCTTTAAGATTAACGCCGCCTCGATTAAAAAACTTGATGGTAAACATAAAGCGGCAGGGAGCCAAGGCCCAGAGCGTTGAACCTGACTTGATTTTGCTCTAGAAAGAAGGAGAGTAACTGCAAAGCGCAAGCTAATCCAGGTGTGACTCAGACTGTAAACGCATTTTTTTGCCATCGGCACAGATATGAGATCACCTGGTAGATACTTGTATTCAAGCACAATGAATGATGGCTTCAGCACCATACAGGTTTTTCTGTACCTTCAGGACCTACTGGGATGACAGATCGCTTTAGTGCAGCAGCTAAACTAGTTTTAAAATGTCAGGGAGAAAAGAAAAACAGAGCTGCATTCAGTTTCACCAGCCCTCTAATATGAAACCCACTTTGATCTCTCCCTACTTTCCCCATAATTAAAAAGTCCCTCTTCCTGTTTCAGGTTTCTCGGTGCCTGAAAGAAGCATTCACACCAGCTGAAACTTTTCACATTTTCTCCATTTACATCAAATGTCAAAACTCCATTAGAGATGTATTTTACAGAGCAACACAAAATAGAGTGAAATTTTGATGTATAAGCACTTTTGTATGTGTACACAAAGGGTCTTACATATGATTAAGAACTGGAAAACAAGCAATGATAAACAAACAAATATAAAGGATGAGCTAACCAAAGCTATGCACAAAAAATAAAATAAATGCGTGCATATAAAAATGTAAAGCAGACAGAGTGGATGCTGATTTGGAGGCCTAAACAAACACTAAGCAAATTGTTAGGAAGCATTGATGCAAAATTAATCAATAAAATAAGATCTACATTTGTAAAGGCTAGTTTCCTGATTGTGTTTCCCAGCAGCAGTATGCATGATTTATGAAGTTCATGTTTTAAGATGGATCCTTGTGGAGGGCAGATCTCAGTTTGTAGCGTTTAGACTTCAGGGTTTCCATGCTGACAAAAAATTCACTGCAATACAAATGATTTGAACACCTTAAAAACCGTCACAGAGACGCCTGATGTTTGTTGTAGTGACTCAACAATGTGAAAAGTTAAAGCCACTGTAGGCAGGAGGTGAGCAACAAAGGAAATTCAAGCTTTCAAAACCTGCAAATCAAAGGGGAACCTTTGAGAAGTGGATAGCTCACATAAGATGATGCAAAAAGGGAAGTATGTTGCTCAGTTTGTGAGGTTATTTTTTTTTTTTTTTCCTCAGCCACAATGTGTCAGTGTGACTAAAAGACAGCATGGCGAGCATGCGTGAGTAAAAACCACGTCATCCAGAGGGGAGGCAGATCCCGTAAAGTCGCTGGGTGTTGTTGGGGCAGGACTTGGCGTCAGAAACTGACAGATTAAAGGGAAGAGGGGGCGTGGCTTGTCCCTGCAGTCAGAGAAGCACGTGGCCATACCCGTTTGCACGAGGGAGCAGCCACAAAGACCAGCCAGTCTGTGGAGGGGAACGGAGCAGAGCTCAGGACATCTGCTGCACACCACATGCACACGCTCCTACTTTCACATGCCCGCTCACATGCACAGTGGGGGGGCTTTATCATGACTCACAGGCGTGCACTCATTCATACACAGAGTGTCAGATGTCAGCTGGAACAAGACAGACCCACATGGATCAGCTTGTAAAGGGAAACAGAAACAATTTTTTTTTTTTCTAAGTCTGCTGCATGTACATGCAAGGCCCGCAGGCTTCTGCCTTTGCTTTTTTTTTTTCAATAGGAACCATGGCCACAAATAAGTTAAAATACCCATAAAGGAGGCTTGCACACAGGTTGAGAAGGTTGAGGAAATAATATGTTGTTTTTTTTTTCTTTTTTTTTTTTTAACCGGGGAAGTTATTCCAAGGCTCCTTCCTGGTCACAAGTAACAAGAATGATAGTCATGAGAGATGCAGAAAGTAAAAAAATAGCAAAACAGAAAGTAATATTAACAAATTACTGTCTTGATCCGATTGTCAAGATTGTATTTCTCTAAAAACCTTCAGCAAAAATTACAGCAACAGCAGCATACGTGGGTCACAATTCCCCACATCACAGAGATGTTATTTGAGCACCTTCTCCTTTTTTCTGTTTACTAAATTTTGCACACACGCAAACACAGACACAGATGAAGCTCTCCTTTTCAAGATATGAGTGTAGAAAGAGCAGGAAACAGCGGTTTAAAGTTAGGTTTTTGGTAAAAAAAAAAAAAAAAACTTTGCTACTGAAGTTATCAAGCCCCATGCACGGCCTCATTAAACAGATAAGCTGCCACTGTCACAAGCAGCTCCCTTTATCAACAAAGTCTCGCCCAGCAGAACC